ACTGGGAAATAATTCATAGGGCTAAAATATATTATTATGTGTATGTCAATATTCTAAAGAATAATAAAACAGTCTAGCTTGTCTCCGGGTGTTGGTCTTTAAAAAAAAACACAAACGCAGCTAAGTGATGGTGGCGGCTGGGGGAGGGAGAAAAGCGTTCATCTCATAGCGTTTTGGCAGCCCGTCAGTGGGACTGAAGCACTCTCAAAGAGGCAGTCTCATTTTGTGAACTTATTGCAGTGTCTTTGATCAAGGGAAAAGGCACATCCATTTCAATCGCTTTAATCGAGATGAGCCCGGGCTCTGGCCGTCTGGCTGCCCACCGGCATGAGCCTGCACCAAGGCTGCAGACACATGGCAGTGCTTAGGATGTCAAACAAATGAGGAGGTCCTTGACTGTCTGTACAACCTTTGCTGAACTTTGAGGGCCCCCCTCATTTAGCAATTCAGACTGGACTAATCTGGAAGTTCCTTTCCCCCAACAAACAACACCTGGCCCAGCCTTGCCTGGCTAAAACAAAAGCTGTGTGTCACGAGGCAGCAAAGACTTCAGAATTGGGAGGGCAGGGGTCAACCATTTTCATAAGCAACATACCCAGGATCACATAAGCCTCAAGAAAGGAAAAAATGACTGCCAGAGACTTTGCCCTCCTCTCTGTTACCTTCACCCTGTCTCAGCCCCAAACTGAGCCAAGCCAGGTCTTATTTTCTTCCCCCATACAGGAATTCTCAAAAGTGTGGGTTCAAGTAGATGTATAAAGATCACCTGTACTCCTTCGACTAGAATAAATAATAAACTGAGAGAGCTCATCAATTTTCAAATGTGGGAAGTTATCAACAAAGAGCCTTTTTTCATTGCAAAGCATGATTAATGCAATTGATATCCCTAAACTGCACATGTCAAAAATGTTGACTTGGCAAATGCTGTGTTATATATGGAAACCCTGGCAGCATAGTGGTCGTGTAATGTTATATATATTTTTATAACAATAAAAATAACAAAAAGAAAAGGAAAAGGCTTTTTTTTTTTCCTTAAGTGGCATCATCCATAAAATCTTGGAGAGATTTGAGTTGTGGAATCACAGTAGAGATGGGAGTAATGATCATGATAATGACAATATTTATACAGCATTTTTGTGACTCAGGCATTGTTCTAAGTGTTTTGCATGTTTCAATTCATTTAATCCTCATCTCAAGCTTATGAGGCAAGCTACTATTATCTCTGCTTTTCAGATAAGGAAACTGAGATCCAGAGAAGTCCAGTGACTTGCCAAAGGCAGTGAGGCTGGGATTCATGCCCAGGCAGTCGGCTCCAGGACCCGCACGCTGACCATAGCATGACACCGCCTTCTTCCAGGCCACGCTTCAGAGCCTCCTTTAAACCCGCCAGTTCAGAGAGCAGCAGAGTATGGAGGGTTTTGGAGGGCTTTGGAGTTAGAGGGGCCTAGGTTTGAATCTCAGCTTTGTCACTCAATGCCCCATTATTGTTCCATCATCTATAAAATGAGGATAGTAACACCTACCTTCCACGCTTATGATGAGTTTTAACTGAGAAAATGAATAAAAAGCACCTCTCATAGAATCAGCACCAAGGATCTCAATCCTTATTGCACATTTTAGTCAGCAAGGCAACTTTTAAATATATGGACACCCAATCCCCACCCTACCACCCTTCCACATTTCTGCCCCAACAGGCAGTCAGCCGGAAGTCAACAATCTCCTTGGCCCAGCACAGAACGAAACCTGAAACCCATCAGACCAAGGCCAGCCTATACCCTTTGCTCCA